ATTACTGTTCTGTCCATTCAAATGACAAAAATATATATGGCTGATATTTACCTCCTCACAGCCAGCAGATACTATTTAGCAAAATGAAGATCAAATAAAGCATATGAGTACATGAGCAATCAAAGATGTGCGAGTTGTTTACTGTCCCATAGAACACTCGGTAATATACCTAAAACACATTAATTATACCAACTCTAGAAATTAGGTGTTCACATCATGAGTTTGTTTTCTGGTTTGATTTATTGAGATTACAGCAAAGCACACTAGGGCTATCTGCCTAAGGTGGAAGGGATGCCTTCGGGGAGGACTTTCTAAGGGAAACTGGCTCGTATACACGTTACACATGGGGAAAACTACGAAAGCTTCTATGCAGCCAGCCCGTTCGCGGGATTCGAACCTCGGACCGAACTACCAGTGTTCAGCGACTTTACCGCTCGGCCGCTGGTGGGCTCAGTTGGTTTTATGTGATTACCGCAAAGCCTCGAGGGATAACAACAGGAGGGATCCCTTTGTAGAAGATTTTTTAAAACTGGCTCGTATACCAGTTACAAATGGGACAAACCAAGGAAACGTCATGTAGCCAGCCCGTTCGTGGCATTCTAACCTGAGACAGAACTACCAGTGTTCAACGACGCTTCGGCCACTAGTAGGCCCATGCACTTAATTGGAAAGTGCAATTCATTATGTAAACAGACATGAAGGTGATAATCAGTTGTGCGCTGTTTTAAGTAATCAAATGTTATAAATGCACAGCTGTTACATTTCTTATTATTTATTAGTCATGTTTTTATTACGTAGATCATACGTATGATATATATTATGAATTAACCCAATAACAAAATGTGTACACTCTTTAGTACTCAAATACTCATCAATTATTTTTCAACTGATTATTACATACCCATAATAAGTTGCAAAGAACTGATAACTATAGTTGTGCTGCCAATTACATAATCGTTATCTGAATTAAAAGTAACTTCAAATAAACTTCTTGGCAATGTTCATTTTTGTATTCATACATACATATATATATAACACATCTAATAAGTCATATATTTACATACAGATAGAGAGATGCGATGTTTTAGAAGTTGTTAATATATATTTATTAGTATTAATGTAATGAATAAGATTTATATTAATGAATGTATATACAAATGTTTTTCATCACGCATAATAATAAATCCATAAATTTTCAATGTTTCAATATGTAGCATTTCCAATAAAAGTATAGTTTCTAATGTATTTATAATTCAAAAAGTATTTCATTAATAACATGAAAATAATAGACAAATTTAATGAGTATTCTCATTATTATATAAGCTATGCTTTTCATTTTTATGCATCTTTTATGCTGTTTAAAATGTGTCACTGATTATGCAGTTAACAATTTAAAAAATAAGTAATTAGGAGAAAAGCCGCGCATATACAAACGGATTTAAAAAAATTATTCAACTTAAATTTAAGAAATAAAATTCTATTATATAACAGTGTTATAATACACGATCAGCACGAAAACGACAAATTTGGCGAACTTTTGGCTACGAACAATTTGTAAACAATCCGAAATGCAAGACGTCGTAAAATAATGTCAACTCTGAAATTTCTATGATTATATATTTAATGAATATATACACATTTAAAAAATGACTCAGGCAGTTGTATTACAACAAAACAGCAATAATTAAATCGGCCTCTATTTCCACCGTCCATCAATTCACAGTGAGAGCCATCGCCATATTGAAAGTTACCCGTGATCCTTCAGAAGCTGACCTTTCGTCTGATTGGTTGAACGTTCGAGGAACACGTCTCCAGCCGGAACATTTTGGGAAAAGTTTTAAAATGTTGCTCGTAGCCAGGACACGTTCCTCCTAGCTAGACGAAAAATTTCTCGGAAGCCTGCCGCTTAAAGCCGTGCTACTAAAATCTCGTTTCTCGGAATTGTCCCGGGTAAGTGCGCGTGTCTATAGATGTGATAACAGCATTATACGTTTACGCATGCGTGTTTAATGTATAATGCATGGTATAAGCTAAGCTAAAATTATCTAATTATCTATACTTCAGTTAATATTGCAGATTGCGTTGTTCCTTAATCTTTGAATTGGATTCGGCTTATTATTTTTTACAGGCTGTTAGAGCAATTTTATAAAAGTAAGCTTGAACTTTTGATAATGTCACAGAGAATTTCCAATGCTGGAGCTGCCAAAGGATCTACAAAGCGAAAGTGTGTTTCGATGTCCATCAAACAAAAAGTGGAATTGCTGCAAAAAATGGATAAAGGCATATCCATTGTTTCTCTAACCATTCCGAAATCTGTTTATCAATTTCACGCTGCTCTGCAGAAACGCAGCGCTGCGTAATGAACTGGAAGTTGATCTGTCAGCACTATCCTTATTTTCAGGGCAGATGTTTTTATTTTATTTGGCCTATAATTCCTTACTAAATGTAGTATTTCATCTCGACGTACTCCGTCTTTGATATGATTTAAATCAAATTCCTCGTCATTATAATTCACTGCCGATACTGAAGAAAGTGACGCAGAGGTTATTGAAAATGAAAAAATTTCGGTGTTCTTGATTAATTAGTTGGTATTCTCGACACAGCAATTACAGGACTTGAACAGCGGAACTTTGTAACTGAACAAGAAATTATGTCTGTTTATAGAATTAAAGAGAAAGTATTATCACATAAAACAAAACAACTTAAACAACTTGCATTGAAAATAAACAAATAAATATTAACCTTTCCCCCCCCCCCCCGTACATTTTGATACCCTTTAGATCATAATTGTTCTTTATTTCATAAATTACGGTTTCATATTTTTAATTTTATAATTTCTGCATGCCATCTTACCAGATTTAACTGATGATCTATAATCCGGAAAAATCGATAATCTGGAATCGCCGAAGTCCCGACAAGTCCGGATTAAAGACTTTTGAATGTATATATATTATAAATCTAACGTAAAAATAATTGAAATACTATAAAATGTTAAAAATTACAATATTTTTTGGTTTTCATTTTCAATGTATCAGTGCTAAATATACTTGAACTGAACTCCGACATCATTTTTTTGGGGGGGAGGGGGATGATTTCCCCAAAATTCTATATTATTCTTTTCATACCGTTCCTCTTCATAACAGAAGATATCACATCTAAAGTAGTTTAATAATGTAAAGGGGGAAACCATTTCCTCTTAGAATATTTTACCTTTTACAAGGATACCTTAGGAAGTTTTAACCAAAAGATTCTGTTATGACATTTTGCAATTATAAGTTTAATATGAAATGTGAAACAGAAAGTACTGTAAAGCCTTATTTATTTAAATGATCAGTTATTTAAACTTGTTAAAACTGCTATGAGTCAGCAGATTGTGAAGGAAGTTTGAACATAAAACGTATATGGAGAGAGAGAAATTTTTCAAATATATCCCTATCGCTCTTACTTTAATACTAATAATTTAGTACCTGGATATTCTCAAATCTTTTGTAATCAGAAAACTAAAGGTTGACCTAAAATTCCTGCAAGAAGTTATTATGATACAAAACACAGGTTTATAATTAAAAATTGTAAATTTTTTTTTGGTTCATAAGGTATATAGTAAAGGGTTATGTATGAAAAAATAGCATATCAGGTAAATTGCCTCCATGGCTTTGCTAGCACATACACACTCGTTTGTTAAAATTCCCATGAATGTTTTGCATAAATGTGTCTGAATTTTGTTGATACAGTGCTCCATTTCCTCTTTGAAGGCATGGATGGCAGTGCACGCGCTGCCATTAACCACAAACTTCAAAAAAAAAAAAAAAAAAAAAAAAAATCCAGCAGCATTAAATGGAATGATCTGGGTGGCCAATTATGATAACCAAAACAGGAAACTACATGACCAGGAATTTACTAATACAGTAACAGAAATTACTAATTTGTTTCTCGGGCTGTATGGCATATGGCTCCATCTTGTTGAAATGCTGTGTCATCCATATTCATAGCTTGTAATTTAGGCGCAGAAAACTGGATTATCATGTCACAATAGTGAGCACCATTATCTGTTATTGCCTGACCAGCCACATTTTTTAAAGAAGAATGGTTCAATGATGCCTCCTCCAAATCCACACCAAACACATAAACATTGTAGATGCATTTGTTCCTCAGCAATTGTTGGTGGATTTTCTGACCACCAAATAAGACAATTTTGTCAATTAACCAAGCCATCAAGATGAAAATAAGCCTCATCACTGAAGATGATTCTGTTTGAAAAACCAGTGTTAATTAAATATTTCCTTTTTTTTTTTTTTTTTTTTTTTTTTTTTACCATAATCCATTCAATGAACTCTTTTCACTGTGCCTGGCAAGTAGGCTTTAGTTCTTGAGCCAATAGAGCTTTGTAAGCATGAAGTTGTAAGCATGATCTTTTGTGAAAATATGCTGTAAATAGCTTCATAAAATGTTTTTGACCACAGTGCCGAATTGATGTTTCTGGACTTGGCAACTCTTTCACGAACTGATTTGATGTTTTGTGTTGAAAAACTTGTTGAAGGACAGCCAGAGTGTTTAAGATTACTAATTGATCCCTTCTCCCTAAATTTTTTAATTAATCTCTTCACAGGAGATGAAGATAAATCACTATTCTGATCATATTTTGTATGAAAATTGTGAACTGTAGCTGCCAAACCTTCAAAATTTTTTAAATATTGTTTATCAATGAAATGCGTTATTCTTATATGTAACGCTTCATTTTTTAACAACCCTGAACTATCAGCTGTCCCTCCCCTTTTTTTTTCATTGGCAACACTTTATCACACAAATGGTGCAAAATTCTAATTTTGCATGAATTTGGGGACACCTTTTATATTTATCTACCATGACTTGCCTTCATCTCTAATTACTCTCTCCCCCCTTTAATTTTTTTATAATTAGTTTCAGTCTTTGGTCCTTGATAAAAAGTCTGTCCTTTTACTTTGTTACACTTACATATATCAATGCAATCTGAATTTACTTACCAATTCATAAGAGGCACAGCTAATAGTTTGGATATTTGATGACACATTTAAAAGTTGTTCTTCAATAAAAAGAAAAATTTCATAACTGTAAGGACCAACCTGCAGAAAAATGAAATAAAGACACTTCATGCATCATTTCATATAAGATTTGAGAAATGAAATTTTCAGTATTTGTAACATAAATTCCATAAAAGAATAATTTTCACATTTATTGGTTAATTGACTATTTCCTCTTGATTTTTCTCCTATTAATTTGATTTTATTCTAGGATAGAGTTAATTTTTTTAGTTTGGTATTTCAAATAAATAGTTTTAATACTGATCATAATGTTTCATCATCATCATATATACAGTAAGGTTTGTGAAAATCGCAGCACCATGAAGGAATTATGCAAATTGAACCAAACTTGCAGGAAATGTAAACTAAGATAAGACATACAAATGAATAGAATTATAAAGCAATTGTGCATGCATGGAATGAGAACTGACCACCATTTTCCATGTATATAATGTACTGTAAAATTCCATTCAAATCTGTTTATCGACATCTGTCTGTGGTGAATGTTTAATTAGTGGTCACTATGCCTCTTTAATAGCAGAGGGTGCCATACCAACAACTAAACGAGTTTGAACGAAGCTGCATCATATGTATGTGAGAAGGTGAACTTTCATATCAAGCAATCACAGCCTGCATGCAGAATAAAGCCACAACAGTGATGCGTGTTTGAAAGAAATAGACAGAGGAGAACCAAACAAGACAAAATATAGGCAATGGGTCACATAATAGCACAGCGACGTCAGGCGATAGACACCTCATATGCATGGTTGTGACAGATTGTAAAGCATCCTCTTGAGTGTTAGCACAACATTGGAGCACGGCTACAGGTGTTGTGTTGTCTAGCTCCATGGTTCGTCGTCATCTGCTGCAGCATGAACTGTGTACAAGGGTTACTCTATGCAGGATTCTCCCATCGCTGAATCACAGACACCTCTGACTTCAGTGGTAATGGCAACACAGTATGTGGCATGCCCTGTGGCAGCAAGTTGTTTTCTCTGATGAATTTTGCTATAATCTGGAGTTGAGAGATTGAAGAGTATGCATTAGACATTACAGAGGCGAATGCATGCTCCCACAATGTGCCATCCAGCATCATACCAAATTAACACCTAACATCATGGTGTAGGGAGCTAGTGGGTATAATTATCAACCCATTTAGTGCAGAATACAAGCAACCTCAACAGTGATTGCTACATAAGAGAAGTTGTGGAGACAGCGGTCCTCCCCATTCTTCGGTGCATTCCGGGCACTGTATTTCAGCAGGATAATGCCCGTGCTCATGTTTCTCAGACTGTATAAACCTTCTTCAGGGTACAACAGGTTTCGTTTCTTCCACGGCCTCCTTATTCCCTAGATATGTTACCCATTGAGCATGTCTAGGAGTTCATCAGTCGGCAACTCACTCTTACAGCTTGTGGCACACACACTAAGACTGAATTTTAACGTTAAGTCAAAGTCATATGGAATGCCACTCCCTAGAATTGCATTCAGAACCTATATGATTCAATACCACAATGTGTACAAGCTATCACTGCTCAGCCTAATGGACAAACAAAAGTACTGATTTCCAGCATTTACTTTGGTTTTTTTGTCTTGTAAATTTGATCCTTTATTTATATCACTATCTGAAATCATTCATTTCTGACAATTCCTTCATAGTGTTGCGTATCTCACAAACACTAGTGCATATGTGGTTTGATATCTATTTAACTGATGCAATGCATTAATACTTTGTTGCTTAGTAAGACATTTTAATGGACGAAAACAGAGACAAAATACAAATATTTATAAATATACATAAAGTTTAAATAATGGCCAACATCTTACATCTTTAGAAATCAACACATTCATTGCCAACATTAAAAAGATCTTACTCAAAATAAAATCATTACTGCCATCTATTGTCAGATCATTATTTGATTATAATATTCACAGTGCATGAACATAAAACAAGAATAACATAGAGTAATTAAAAAAACAATTAAAACGTCAATTCACCTCAACGATAATTTGAAACAGCAATAACTTTGAGAATACGTATTTCCGATAAAGTCTGAAAATCTCACTATACTTCATTAGTGCACATCCACAGCATAGGAGATATTAGTAGCAGAAGATGTCTTCCACCCTTGAAGTATAACAGACATCTCCCTCGGTTGCACAGATTATTCAATTGTCTAGAAATGTCAGACATCAGGTGCAGTATTGCCATACCTGTACATATATACTAGTGGGCAAAACTTAAGCAGTTTTTCTGATTTTGGCCTTATTCCACAAAAAATCAACTAAGAGACATGAAACTCATGCTACAGAGGTGCAATGTAGTATTTAAATGATGAGGAAAGTATAGTAGGGGGAAAAATTGGGAGACATGAAATTTATACTTACAGTGGCACAGTGCAGTATTTAAAGGATGAGAAGAGTATAATAGGAAAAAAAAAAGGGGGAGAATAGGACATATATAGTATGGGATGAATAGAAAAATGCTTAAGAGAATGGTGCTGGTACAGAAAACTAGTTGGCCAAAAGGAAGTACATCAAAACAAAGAGTCTTAGTAAGGGATATAACTTCCCCTAACTGCAATGGTTGTTTTGTAGCCAGGGTTCGTACACATTTCTGCATACGGAAATTAAGTACTTTTAAGGACTATTAAGGACCATTAATGAAAAAAATTAAGGACCTATGAGCAAATAGGAACTGATTAAATTCAATTAAAAATATTATATCTATGCCTGAACATGAGTAGGATGCATTATTATTAAACATAAATTAATTAACATAATTATTAATACGTTTGAGAATAAAATTAATTTTATGAAATTTATCAAGTAGAATTAAATATTTTACAATTATAATAACTGGACATATTTGAAAGAAGATAAGTGACATTTTAGTTACATTTTATTAACAGCTTTTTTTTTTTTTTTTTTTTTTTTTTTTTTTTTTTTTAAATGTCTCATTTAGTCACATACTTGCTCAGTCTAAAGGTTTAGTAAATAGCAAGTAGATTTTATGTCAAGCAGCATAGGTTAAAATGAGCATTAGAATCATAATCAGCATGATTCATAACAAAAGACTGGCCGTTGTCACCACTCCTGCTTGCCTATAGAGAAACCTGCTGGCACAGTTAAGCAAGTTTTGAAAGTTAGCTGACTTCTGCCTGATGCTGTTAGTGTCATAGCTTCGTGTAGAGTTCCAGGGGTTGTAACTCAGTTAATATACTTTAAGGTTAAGCCACTAAAGCATTAGCGGTGATAAGTTTTTTTTTTTTTTTTTTTTTCATTAAGTCTCACTAGATGCAAAGAATAAGTTTCACATGAATTTTTATATTTTTGTGTTTTACCTTGTGACCAAGGTAAAGGTTAACACGTTGAGCCTGGCGCCGAATTTGCTGTCCTTTCCGTTCAGCCAGCAGCGAGCGATCAAGCAGTGCAATATTGCTGACATAAATTATACAAAAAGGAAGGAGACGCACATAAAGTTTGAAAGTATTGCTCGAAATGTTATGATGACAATTCAAAACTATTTGGATGGAAGATAGACAAAAATGTTACCAAAATAGTTGTTTCGTATTGAAATATGTATAAAGCTAAGCCGTATTTTTGTTTAGAATGTTTCAATAAATTTCATTAAAACTACATTTGATCACATTTCAGTGAGACTATACTTATTTTTTAACTTTAATACTGAAGGTCCCGCGGACCGATGCCATCCAAATGAAAATTAAGTGCCTGTCCCCAGGGACTGACACCGGGCTCAGCGTGTTAACGAAAGGCAATAACTTGCTTTAATATAGAGAGAAAATTTTTAAGGGAATGCATTTAGTTATAATTAAATTAGGCATTAGATAACCTAGTCATTATGGATTACCTTAGTCATTATGGATTTGCATGATCACTATTAAATTAAATTTATTTTTTAATAATATTTGATAAAAAACCCTATTAATATCACAATCTCATATAATTTCACAGTTTAAAATGCATGCAATTTATGACATTGATTTTTAAACAATATTAGGATAATTACACATCAAAAGCTACAAGACATAAAACCCAACAAAATAATTATGCGTCTTTTTAATTTGAAGGCCTGCCCAGACATTTTTGGCTAACTTATATCAATTTCCTTCTCCTTATGCATGTTTTCTAACAATTAGAAAATTTCCTTCTCCTTATGCATGTTTTCTAACAATTAGAAATTTGTCTCAATATGCAAAACAATGTTTTCATTAGTTTCTGCATGTTTTATCTCCTAACTGCCAACCTCTCCACAATGTACTACCTATGAGGGTTTACTTGATCTGGTAAAAGTTAAATAGTCCGACCCCCTACCCCCCGACAGACGTGAAACAAATTATCACTATGAATGAAAGTAACTATAAATCAGATAATAAATTTAAATAAAGGTTTAAATAAGCTTCTTATTTAAAAAGAACTTGGAACATATAGACATGTTCTTATGCTAACAAAATAAAATACAGTTTGTGGGGATATAATTAAATAAGAAGAGTGAAATTCAAACTAAAAATATGGACTAGTGGTCAAAAACTATATAATTTAATTTCAGTTTAATCTGGTTCAGTAACTCTATTGTCATAATAAACTCAAATGTCAGCAGCAGTAATGGAAAGACTAATAATTATAAATCATCAGAGCTGACAAGAACTAATGCAGGGAGCATGTGGAGTTCAGAAACACTCGTCTTACACTCCAAAAAACTCAGTTTAAAAACTGTCTAAGTGATTTGCATTCTGATGAGGAAATAGAAAATGGGAAATTATAGTAAAGGCTGAAACTGTAAACAACTGGGTAATTTACATAATAATAACTGTACATATCTTTGAAGAATAATTTTCTTTCTCTTTACATATTTAGTTTCTTTTTTCAACACGTTTCCTTTTCACTTTAAATTTTTTAGATTTAATTAAAGACTTCTGTTATTCTAAAAGATTAAATGCATTTAGAATGTATGGAAAAAGCTGCTAATTTTATTTCTTTAGTAATATGAACATTCAGAAGAAATATGAAATACATATGATAAGGTCTGGTCATAGAGCTGGTGTGGCATAATTTTTAGAATTTAGGGACACACTGGGCCAAAAAATCTAGAAATGGCAAAACTTTTAGAATTTAGAGCAAGCATTGAAAGCAGAATTTAGAAAGGCACCAGGCATCAGAATTTAGGATCCACAGAGACTGCATCAGGTGGCAAAATGCCTAGCGCCAGCTCTGTGTATGATGCATTAAGACATATTAGATGAATCCTTTGAATTGTCAGTTTTCAATTTCTTTATTAATAAAAAAATTCCTTTCTATAATGCCTGTCCATATGATAAGATTAGAAGTACTTTTGATATTTTCTATGCTTGTATCTAGTGAAAAGTAGAGAAAATAAAGGAAAGATCAAAATGTTAAGAAAGCGATTCTAGAATCAGAAATTAAACATTCAACTATTATGTTTTCATTATTCTTCCAGATGTTCTCCAAAATGCAAGAAACTGTCTGTTACTACCATGGAGACATTTTTCATTTTATCACATTTTTCTGGAATCTTTTAGAATCGTGGGTCTATAAATTTGCCTTGAAATCTTTCTAAACGTTCCAAGCTTCAGAGTCTAAAATCCTAAAGAAAAATTACCAATTCTGTAACAGCAAAAATCCAGAAATGTTTTTAGAAAAAATCGGAGGAAAAAAGTGTGAAATTAATTTTTTAGAGAAAACTGATGCATATTCTGAGAATTCTGATCATTCTGAGAAATATAAAAAATTCTTACTATGAAAAAATTAAAAAGACATTTTTAATTAATTATATAGCTATTTTGCTTTTGCTAAAAACTGTTTCATAAACTGTGCTTTATAGCATTATTCCTTGCTTATTTTTCAGATTCAAAAAAATTGTATAATATGTGGCTAAAATGGAGCTTCATAATATGACAGTGAAAAATAAAAATGCTTTATTTTAATGTTATTTTTTAAATATAATTCCAATATATTACCATTATTTTAATGAAATTTATCAATGTTAGAATGTTCTAAAGAAATCGTGAAAAAATTCCCAGATCTCGGAATTAAAAATTTTCTATCGAAACCGATCTAAAATCTCCAAGTTTAGAATCGTTTAATAAAAGAATTTACATCCCTAAAAGCGGAAAGTTGTTTGGGAGCTCTTCATACAAAAAATGAAATAATTTTGATATGCTTATGTTTCACTTCTTGCTCAGAAACTCGAGCATCCCACCATGATTTATATTACAAATAGGAACAAATTATACTCATGAGCCCATTCACAAAATAGCCATATTTGTCAGTGAATCGCCAAAAATATTCCTGCAAAATGCTAATTCACACCCAAAATGGCAGTCGTAAAAACAGACAGAAATTTCAGATGATTAAAATTAAGGACCTTCTGCCGATTTTGGCCAAAATGAAGGACTTTTAAGGACCAAAAATCGATTTAAAAAAACTTAAGGACTTTTAAGGACTCTTAAGGACCGTACGAACCCTGTGTACCATCTGTCAATACTCAGGACTATATTATCTAATAGTTCTTAGGGTAAGACTTCTTCTTCTTCAAGTAGCATCTGTTTCAGTTGTCTGGTGTTTCAGTGTCTGGAAAGATCATGCTGCCAGTCATCTTTTTAATGTATCCCACACATATTCAATGGGATTTAAATCAGGAGAGCATGCATGCCAGACCATTCTGCGAGTATCTTCACTTTCCAGAAACAGCATGAGTGCTGTGTGGCCATGCACTGTCATCCATAAAAACAGTCAGGACCAATGAAACCCTAATGCACATGAAAAAGACACACATGAGAAAGGATAGCTTCATCACAGTTAATAATCTCTGGCAAGTGAACCTCTGTGGAAAAAGATGAGTTCTGTCTATCCATTCATCATAATGCTACCCCATACAAGCTTGTGAGAGCCACTGCAACAGTCTCTTTCCTTCATGTTAGTGAGATGAAAGGGCTGTCCCAACTTTTTTCCATGTCAAATGGCATCAAGAATTGTTTGTCAGACTAAAACAACTCTCATAGATAAACAGGATGTAACTCCACTGAAGAGGTATCAAGCCTTTGTGTTCTTTCTCGTTACCACTGTAAACAGTGCCATTGATATACTGCTGTCAGTGGTATGCAGCATTCAAGATGGTGGACAAACATGGAGTCATCTGGCCACAGTAAACCAGGACAACTGTTTACAGTTAATAATATATCCTGATTTATAATAATATATCTTGTTGCCATGCACAACTGTGAGCAACGTTGCCTACTGACTGGTTTTGATCTCTTTTTGCCTGCAAAATGATATATCAGTCATCGGTCACTGTTGTTTTCCTTGCCCAACCTTTCTTACAGCTGTACCTGTCATCTGGAAAACTTTCCAAGCTTGTGAAACAACTCAATTCCAAACTCTCTTGGGTAACAGATGTCAAACTATTCCCCTCTTCAAATTTGCCAAATATTCTACCACCTCTAAAGGCATCCTAATGCTTTTTTGTAGCCACACAGGATATAAAATCTCACTTTTATTTTCATAAAAACTGCTTTGCATCATGCACACTAACTCCTCAATTTCATATGCTCTGACATACCCTTTGATGTCATGGTGCTGATACATGCAAATGCACCACCTTTCTACTGAGTTGGTTGAGTCATTGTACTGATCACAATAAGTCCTTTTTAACAAATTTATGGCTGTATGCTAAAAAATGAATTTGTTGCACATTGCATACCAGTTGCACATTGCATACAAGTTTTGCACATTGCATACCAGTATGTATAAGTGCGTATGTTTATAGGTATATGTGTGTATTCTGATGAAAATTTGGATTCTTTAAAAAACATTATATTGTTATGAATTTGGTATTTAAAAAAGCTCATGTTAGTTGAATTGTAAATTAAATGGTTTTATTTTCCTCGCAGTGCAGCGCGTGACAAATATTAAACGAAAGCTAAGCCGGAAAATTGAAAATACAAGAACGCGTGCATGTAACATTTAATAAATATCTCTTTTTGATTTCGAGAAAGTACTAGAAAGTTCTCGCACGCGATTTTTAAAATCTTATAAAAGGAGGAAAACCTCTCAGTTTGTGGTAGTTACTTAGTTTGTTGTTGTTTAGAAAACTGCTTTTGTTGACTGTAGAAAATTCACGGATTAGCTTTTCTTTAGCTGTTTTGAATTAAGTTCTATTGAACGTTTGAGTAGTTAGAAGATAACTACTGTGATATATTGTGATACTGCACGATTATTTGAGGACATTTAATCATATTTTGTTGTGATAATAATAAACTTTCTTCATTTTTCATTGGACTTGTGCATTTATTTCATAACGAACCCGTACGCACACAACAATATGTATATTTAACTCCTAAACATTTTTAAATTAAAATTTTTTAAATGTTGATGTATCTAACTCAGCATCTGTTTTGCTTCATTATGTTTATTATGAATATGGATTTCTTTCAAAAGTCTGCAGCTGTTTGTGTTTGAAGAAGAAACCACCAGCTCTAGTATCACCACTTTTTCATGATCTGTTTCAGACACACAATTCCATTACAATTAAGTCTCAAAGAATATGTGGTGAACCCTTACCAATGATTATCTTTCAGCAGTGAAAGTTATTGTCTTGCTCCTTCAAAAATTATGATTCCTAAATGCATTTGTCATCATTATAAAAGAAAAATTCGCAAAGTAATGCAAATGCATGGATGCTGTGTGATTGAAAACCAAGTTTTTTTGCTGTCATTTTAATAGCTGAAAGGACTTTGCACATCTTCTATTAGCAAAAAGATGACTTAGAATTATGATTAATTACCTTTAAAATTTTGTCTAATATATGTATGTAGGGCACAATTCATCTGGTAGTTCATAATTTGTCAGACATATTCAAACAATCTTCAATACATCGAATCAAAAGAATCGTATCTTCACAGTTTACACCTAATTTCCAAAGCTTATTCTTATAAAAAACTTTCATTATAGAAACTTACCTTTTCAAGAAGCACATTAAGATTTTTTAGAATTAACTCTTCATCTTTTATGTCTTTGATAATAAATTCAGCATGTTTAAGACCACATTTTACATCTTCTTCAAGATTCTCAGAATCTGACAAGTAACACTTCTCCAAATCAGTTAAAATCTTATTAAAGTATGCAATTAAAACATGGTTAGATGGCAATTCAAATGCATAACAGTATTCATGCACAGTAGAAAGGTCACAATTTGAAGATGCAAGTAACTTGTTTACAACATCAAATTTTTTTTCAAGTGAAGATGGACTAACTATAACCTGAAAACGAAAATAAAAAGTTCATTATAGAGATAAAATGTATAAAAATTCTAATAAAAATATCTGGTTGTAACGAAAATTTTCTACCAAAAAATGTTCTTAATTAAGTTAGGAAACATGAAAGAAGTACCTTTAGTGTGAGTAGTAATCGCTGAGCAACTCTATGATTTTATGCCAACGCTTTGGTCATTTTCCAAAGCCTTCAACCCAGAAACTGGGTAGTCAATCAACTTCATTTCAGATGTCCTGTGCAGAATGGAAGATAGCATCAGCAAGATGCAGGTGTGAAAAAATGAAGATGTCCAAATTAGCGATGTAGGGCTATATGGTGGGTGTGGCAAAAGATCTCATTTGAGTCAATACAGAGCCCAGCCAATGAAGGGCAGACACATGTAGTATCGCATTATCTTGATGGAACATTACCTTATTGTGCCGGAACTGAGTTTAACATTTCTCCTTGATAGCAGCATCAGCATAGATTAGCATCTCGCTGTACACCTTACTGTTGAGGGTTTTACAATTTTTAAGTTACTCTTTGTGGATATACCACAGCAATCCTACCAAATACAAAGCATGATCTTTTTGTTAGTCAAATTACACTTTGTGATGCTGTTAACGGGCTCACCGGGCATAGACTAACCCTCCTTTCGGCCTGTGTTGCTGAAGTAAATCCACTTTTCATCACAAGTGATGATACTCACATTCATTTAAGCAGATTAGTCCTGGCCTGATAACATCTTTTTTTATCTGCCTGACTCAGCTCACGTGACCCCCAGAGATTGAACTTGTACACTGTGGGAGGAAAAAAAAAAAAAGAAAGAAAGAAAAGGAAAGGGGGAGGACAGTTCTGTATCCTCCCATTCTACTGGGCCGATTGACAAAATTCAAATTGCGTTTTTCATGTCTTGAAAGTGTGACTTAGGATATATATTAAATTTATATATAGCATTATTCTAGGATATGTATTCTTACACAAAAACGGACTTTTTCTGAAATAACATATAATTTTTTCCTATATTTGGATTCTACGATTCAAATTATGCCTAGATATTAAATTTTGTAATTTTTGGTGAGAAATTAAAAAATTTATATTGGTGCATTTTTTTAGTTTGCACCAAGAATAATTCACTTGGTGGAATTCCTCTTCTATAGTAACCTACTTACTTTCCTTTTTATTGATGCATAAAAAAAAGGGTCCGTCATTCATTTTTTCAAATAATTTAAAAAAGTAAAATAAACATTTTTGTTATTATCACTTACATTAAATATGCCAAATTTCAAATTCTGGAAAAAGGAATCAAGTAAGTTTAATAAAAAAAAAGAGAGATATTAATAAATACGTACCAAATTCAATTAACACTGAGGAACTAAAATTTTGAGAGCTAATTGTTTAAAAACTTCTCGTGTGATTTTTACAAAATTCGGCAGTTTGTCGTAATTTGAGTTGTAGAATCGAAACATGGAAGAAAATTAGCATGTCATTTCATAAAAAGTCTGATTTTGTATCAAAATACATATATTAAAACAATGCTATATATAAATCTAATACATATCTTACGTCATGCTGTCAAGACATGAAAAACGCAAGTTCAATTTCATCAATCAGCCCAGTAGAATGGGAGATATAGAACTGGTTCCCTTTTTTTTTGCACAGTGTACATCAAGTTTATGCAATTCATAAAGCGACTAATGGACTTGGTACTAACGTCTAACTCCTTACGAAGCTCTCGAGTGGTTGCATACTGATCTTCTTCCACAAGTTCTCGCAAGTGGGCCTTACCAACATCAGTAGGCTGGCCAGAGCGCTCTGCATCTTGAGGTCCTTGTTTTTGAACTTTCAGTACCAAACCTTCAAAGCATCATATGATACAATATTAATACCTAAAGCTGTAAATATGATTTGGTGACATTCTCTAGTTGAAATTTTACAACAGAATTGGAAGAAAATGATGGTTCTAATCCCATTTCAGACACCTTGTACTTAATGACAATGATATTACTTTACAAATTTCACAATATAGTATTCTAAAGCAAGTCTTCTTCTTTCAAATGCCAAAAATCATTTGACATAATATGATTAAACATGGCAGCGTGAACTGTTTGCACAGACAATATTTGTGGTGGCAGGAAACTTTCATTAAAACCCCGATATTAATAAAATATAACTAAGAACAATATAACTATACATGAATCAGTACATAGTTAATAGATTGTTTTGCCATTTTAATGCATTTTAAATGAAGAAAGAACAGTAATGCATATTTAAGTAATAGGAAAATACTATTAACTTACATCCACATTTGCACATGTTATATTTTGTTTGGTTAAAAGAGATGCTCGCCTATAAATACTATCAAATTCTGAAAGAATTTCAGTCTTTTGAAGAAAAAGTCCCAACTTCATGCCAATTCTTCCTACCAGCATTATCCTTTGTAAATTTGTAGAACTCCATTTTAGTAATTCCTAAAATGCAAATTTTAAATAAATTAGTCAATTTTGACATTTTTATCTTAAAAACACTTTTCTGCCCGAATTCAAAATTAGCAGGAAATCTATAAGTTAGGTTATTTGAATATGTCAAAGGGAAGCAGGAACCTAGCAGGAAATCTAGGCTTCAATATACATTTAAAATAAAAACAAGGTAAATTAAATGTCCCTGCCTTCATTAATAAAACAATCCGCAGCTGTATGATATACCAAACTAAATTTCAGAGAACAATAAATAAATTATCTGCATATTTACCAGAAAATTCTTCAGTTCTCAGTAAAATAGTCATGCAGAAAATTAAGAAATAAAATGAAAAATAAAGAAATATTAAAACCTAATGGAATCTTTCAAAAACAAAGGAAAGAATTGCAAACAAATTTCTTTTCCCCATAATATTACAATTTTTAGCTTCAGCTAATTTTTCTACACTAAATATGCTTCTTGAAAAATGTACAGCAAATTTATCATGGCATTCACAAACTTAAATTAAAACAGACTTAAATGGGGACAGCTTTTCAATACATATTTATTTATTATATTAAAATTATATATTATTTATATTAAAATACATGCACACACATCGATGATATACCATCAGTGGAATATAGATTTAAATCCCAAACACTTCTAGGAGATAGTAATTTTAAGTTAGTTTTTGTCTAACATTTTTTATATAATCTTTATTTTAATGTAAATTATTACTATTTAAATAATAATAAAATATAATAAATATAAGCATTTTAATGTAAAAATAATATAATAACATAATAATAATATAACCATTTTAATGTAAAAATATAACTATTTTTTTCACATTACAAGGAACATCCTTTTTCTCTTTCTGAAAATGTGCAAAATATTTAAATTTGATGAACATTTTAGGCAAATTCAGTATCTCAGATTTTGTTGTTTCTACTTGAGGTATTGTAGTATTTTGTAATTTTCAGTACTCTTCTGTTATCACGACTGGATTCAAAAATGCTTGTACATATCTATGTGCATATACACATGTACTATGTCTGTATATGTGTCTACATACATAATCTATGTATGTGTATACACATATACTATGTGCATATTGTGTACATATAAAACTATGTGCATACCGTGTACATATACTATGTATGTACTATGTGTGTGTGTATACACACATACATAGTACGTACATATATATATATATATATGCATCCATACATACAGTTCTGAATCCAGTCTCGATAACAAAATAGTACCTAATTTTACCATGGCTTTTACAAATGATATTATGATAACTTTCAGATCATATTTTAAATTGTGCTCATGAACGTGTTTCTTGTGATATTGTGAACTTTCAGATCATATTTTAATTTGTGTTCATGAACATGTTTCTTGTGATATGCTTAAGGCCTGAAATAAAGTATAACATACAGCTATAATTCCAAGATTAAATCATGGATAGGTATTTAGAAAAACTAGACAAATTCCTCCTTATTGATCCTTACAGACCATATGTAAGCAAGCAATAACATTGATTTAGATCAATAAGCTGATCATTTGTGTTTTCCACTACCTTTAAGCTTGTAAAGTAAGCTTGAACTTTCGATTATGTCAAAAAGAGTTTCCGATTCTGGAGCTGCCAAAGGATCTACAAAGCGAAAGCATGTTTCAATGTCCATCAAACAAAAAGTGGAATTGCTGCAAAAAATGGATAAAGGCATGAAGAGAGTGACAGAGAGGTTAGTGAAAACAAAAAAATTTTGATTGACAAGTTAGTCAATATTCTCAGCAGAGCAATTACAGGACTTGAACAGCGGAACTTTGTACCTGAACAAGAAATTATGTCTGTTTATAGAATTAAAGAAAAAGTATTAGTACATAAAACGAAGCTTAAACAACTTACATTGAAAGAAATGTTTAATAGAGTAAACAAATAAATATTAAGGTGTTTTTTTAATATATATATGTAAGATAAAAAATATATATGAATCAAAATTAAAGTTTAAACTAACGGTAAAATATTAATTCTTCCTCTTTATTCTAAAATCATAATAACTTCTCTTTTAGGAACCGTGTTATAATTAATAGCAGGTAATTGTGGATATCGAATTGGCCGATACGCATACTGTAGAAGGTCGGTATTGCACTTGTTGATAATTAAAAGGTCTCACACTACTAAAACTTTGATAAGTAGTGGATTACACTGGCCTGGGATAATAGCACCTCAGGAACAGTTTGCCTTGGAGAAACAAATTGGTAATTACTATTTTCCTAGACCATCCAACGGCATCTGAACTGGAAACAGTTTCCTAGCAAGAGTAATCCAGTCTTTCGGTGTGTCTATTTTTTGCCCTGTTAACAGCATTCTTTGAGACTCAGGAAGTCCGTAAATGCTTCCGTAAGTGCTTCCACCATTGTGGAATCTGTTAGTTTCAAGCTGGCTCCTAATTTCAACTTATTATGAAAATAAACATCAATATTATTATTAAATTTCTCGTATTTTAAAGACACAAAATCACTAAAAGTAACAGATTCCGATGTTGTGAAGTATGTCTCGAAAATATCCTTTATGTTGTTCCAGTATTTATCTAAACAATCACGTAAATAGAGGGCTAAAGCCTCTCCTCTAATGCACTCTCAGAAAACAAATTTCTTTTCCTTTTCTGGAATGTTCTTTGCGGCACATTTCTTTTCAAACAATAGAAGATATTTGTCTATTGTAAAATTTGTACTTGTGCCATCAAAAATAGGGAATTGAAATTTCACTGTATCCACAATAGCTACGGATTCTTGCTTATCAGTTTGACATTTTTGCCGTTTTTGAGCGTGTTAGCATTCCAATCACAAAATCTTGAATTTAAGAGTTTGCATACACATCAATTTAAAATCAATTTGAAACACTAAAATCAATCACTTTAGAAGCACTTGATAAAACGCATAACTTTGGAGGCGAAGGGAAAGCACTTAAGCATCGCCGGAAAAGAAGCAAAAGCATCAGACGATCACACACTGTCCTTGACCCACTGTTGAATTTTACCGTCGAAAGCGCGTTAGAAAGCGAAATCCAGGAGCTTTTTTTCAGACAGCAGTAGAAGGGGTTTCCCGATGAATTTATCCTACCGGCTAATTAATAACTGGAATAGTCTCAACATTCTCCCACGATGTGTTGAAATAACTGAAAACATTACATATGTATGAATTTAATACTCTTTAGATCATAATTGCTCCTTATTTCATAAATTACGGTTTCATATTTTTAATTTTATAATTTCTGCATGCCATCTCGCCAGATTTAAATTGATGATCTATAATCCAGAAAAAACCCTAATCCGGAATCGCTGAAGGCCCGACGAGTCCGGATTAAAAACTTTGTACTGTATTATATCTCTACAGCAAAATTGCCAACATGTTTGAATATCTTGAAATTGAAATTCTGTTGGTTTACATCCAAAAGTGAGCAAACTTGCAATTTGTGAATTAAACAATTATGGATTATTAGAATTCTATAGAATATAAATACATAATTGAGAGGCATAAAAACATTTGATGATTGAACAGATAATAAAGACAACGAACTCATTTTGCATATTTCTTGATGCAACAATTTCAGTATGGTTAACGAGACAACATACTGGCATTAATTTAATGTCAATGCAAAAGAAAGACAATCTGATTGGCATTGCGAAAATTGGCTCTATGCCAGCTGTCCAAATGACCATATAATTTGCCAAGAAAATGATCACTTCCAACATTGGCACGAAAATAGTTACTTTTGGGGGCGGGCATATGAAATTCCCTGACTTTTCCTGATTTTCCACGTTTTCCAGGTAGCATAGCAACCCTGATTAAAGAAATATTTTTATCATTCTGTTACAAAATAATGAAGCTTCTACCTGAATGATCACTGTACTAGCATTAGTCACTGACAGTCTCTATCAGGCTGACAGTTTCACAAGTTTCATGCAAATACCAAACAATGATTGTTAATGATGAGCTTAACGGGGTGGCAGAGGCTTTTGAAATTATACATTGCATAACTAAAAGAAGGTACTTTGATTTCTGCATCAAAATCTGTGATTTTATTTTCCTTGCAATGACATACTAATTTTGTTCATTTTGCTAAACTATCAGCCAAATTAGCTAGTTTGAGCACTCAATTTTTATCGTTTAAAATCCTAACATTAAACAGCATGACATTCCATAAAAATACTGCTAACTCTACATGCTGTTTTATCTATTATCTTTAACTCTGGACCCAGCCCCAGCACTGCAGATATTTATGTAGTTTTACCATGGTTTTCCATTTGGTCAAAAGAACTTATCCAAAAGATTAAGTATTTCATCTCTTGATGTGTTAATTAGTAGTGATCTCTAAGAAAGAAGGTCTTCTGGATAGCTTTGTAAGTCTAATGAGCAAATACTGACAAGACAACTGAGCAAAAAACTGACAACTCAAGCTATTCATCCATTTATCCAATTCTTGCTTTTCAGATGTGACCAATAAATGTCTCTTTCACATTATCAGCCATATCTCCGATTTGTAAAGAGAGAATTATATTTTACAAAGGGATGTTGAAGGCTAACTTAGACCTTTTCATTAAGTATACGCTTGAAATTAGCAATTATCAGGGTTGCCACTCAAACAGGAGGATGAAATTCCCTGACTTTTCCATGTGTGTTTCAAGAAAATTCCAGGCTATCGCTTAGTGCGCATAAATTGTGCTGAGGGTAAATTAATTATAGTACCACTTGAAAACACAAAAATCTGCCAATTACATATGACTTTATATATATAAAAAATCCCCAAAGCATTACTTTTATAACGATAATAGGAGTTGTTTTCTCCTCTGAGGAACGAGATTACAATCTGTCCAATCGGGATTTAAAAATGCCTTTTCTGCAGAAATTTTGCAACTAAAGGAAGAAAGAAATCTATTTAATGATATTTTTAAATAAATTCAAGTATTTTATATTTATTTAGCAGCATACATAAGTAAAA